AAGCCCTCATTCTCCCCGATTCTTGCTGCTGCATCCCTGTTTGTGTGTTATCTGCAGGAACAGCTGCCCTTGGCACAGCTCCTTCCAGCTGCTGGGGCATCCTCACGCCCCTGTGGGAAAGAGCTGCCTCCTCCCAAGACAGAAACCCCAGAATTGTCACTGCTATCGCTCAGATATTTTTTTTAGTTTATGTCTCATCTCACTTCTGCCTGATTTACAGTTGTGTTTTTGTCAGACCTCTCATTCTTACCAAAAAAACTCTTGCCGTACATTAGAAAAAAGAAATCTCAGCTAAGACAACTTTTCAGGACTGAGCACTTTTTCCTTTTTACAGAGGGGATAAAAGTGATAGAAAACCCAGAAGTGAGTTGTTGTACATTTCCCAGTGACAATCCACCACCACTGCAAGCAACAAACTAATCCTGCACATTTCTCCCCAGTTTCATTCCTCCCCTCAGCCAGGAAACACCTTTGGACACAGGCAGAGCTCTGTGAGCAGATCTGACTTTGCCAGTTCAGCACTGAGTCAGTGCCAGCAGCCAAAGGGGAAAGGGCATTTTTGGGGCAGGGGATGTCACTGGTGAGGCATCCTCTGCAGGAAACACAGAGGGTTTGGGCAGGCAGAGGGATATCAGGAATTATTATTATTATTATTATTATTATTATTATTATTATTATTATTCCTGCAGCAAGTCTGCTGAACGTGCCTTAAAAATACACTCCATGATGTGAATAACTCAAAATTAAATCCTGTACAAACACTCCTACAGAATGCTGCTGCTGCTGAGCTCCTCCTAATCGCTGCCTTCTCAGTGTCTCATTGCAGCTCTGGCTTACACAAGTATTTAAATGTATTTGTACAACACACCTGAAGAGATATCAACATTTCAGCAAGAAGTTTGGAATAAATACAGGCAGGGTTTTTTTTTATTTTACTATTAACACTTAGAGCATTTGGGATTGTGCAATTCAGATCAGACAGGACAAAAACAACACCAGGATGAAAGCCTGTGCAGAAAGGCACAATGACTGAAAACCACAAGGTTAGAGTTGAAAAAGATGCAGAAATCCTGCACAGAGCATGCACTCCTCATTCAGCCCAAATTCTGCTGCATCACATCACAAATCAGCTCAAGCAACGCCCAAATCATTCCCTGAGCCAGCTCTGAGCCCAGAACACCACAGGCACATCCAGGGGAGCCATAAATGCTCCACCAAGACCACACAACTCCAAACTCCTTCATAATTCATGGAGCCAATTCTCAGCACTTCCCATGCTGGGCACAGAACGAGATTGCAGCTTGCAGAGGGATTTTCTGCCATTAATATTGCAGCAGGAGATCAATAATGAAATGCCCAGCAAGGAGCAGAGAGGTGCTCGCTGCGGCCACGCAAACAGCATCCCCCAGCTCTGCCTGCTCTGCTGCTGCTGCCCAGCCTGCAGGGATGATGGAAAAGTGCAGCCTCCTTCAAAAACTGCAGCCTCCTCCTCCAAAAAACTGCAGGCTCCCTGGGAAAAATGCAGCCTCCTGCAAAAAACTGCAGCCTCCACCCCAAAATACCTGGGGCCTCTCCCTGGGAAAAATGCAGCCTCCCCCAGAAAAACTGCAGCCCGCTTTCCCCCAGAAAACTTCAGCCTCCCCCTAAAAAAACCTGCAGCCTCTCCCCAGGCAAAATGCAACCTCCCCCAAAAATCTGCAGCGTCACCTTCCAAAATAAACTGCAGCCTCACCCTCCCCCCAAAAAATTTGCGTCCTCCCCCCCAAAAAATCTGAAGGCTCCCAGGGAAAAATGCAGCCTCCCCCAATAAAACTGCAGCCTCCCTGAAAAAAACCTGCAGCCTCCCCTAGGGAAAATTGTGGCCTCCCAACAAAAAACCCTGCAGCCTCTCTCCAGGAAAAATGCAGCCTCCACCCCAAAAAATCCACAGCTTCCTCCCCAAAAAATCCACAGCTTCCTCCCCAAAAAATCCACAGCTTCCTCCCCAAAAAATCCACAGCCTCCCCCCCAAAAAACCTGCAGCCTCCCCCCCAAAAAACCTGCAGCCTTCCTAGGAAAAATGCCGCCTCCCCCCAGAAAAAACCTGCAGCCTCCCCCCCCAGATAAATTTCAGCCTCCCCAGGGGTGCTGGATGAGGAGCAAGTGCCAGAGCTGGAGTCTGATTCAGCAAAGCCAACCCCATTGTGCTGTTTATAAAGGAAATGTGGTCCCTTTCTGGCAGCCCCCTGCAATAAGGATGGAATTGCAGCTCCTACCCAAAACATCTGTTTCCAGCCTCTTCTCCTGAGAAATGCTCATTGCATGTCCAGATGCAAAATAATTCACTTTACAGCCCATTTAAAGGAAGCTTTTCTCCACCAAAACATCACCATTCACTGATGACACCACACAGGGGATCTCCAGCCCTGCCATAAATCCACGCTGAGGAATATTTTGGAAACAAGAGACTGAAACACAACATCACATTCACAAAATGCCACCATCATTCCCAGGAGGGAGCAGCACAACCCTCAGGTTCCCCAGAATTGAACCATTTTCCTGCACAAGCTCCCACTCCTCCAGCAAGGGCTCTGTGTGCTCCCAGCAGCACGACAAACAATTCATTTCTCCTTGGGATCTCCCTGCTTTTCCTCCTCCACAGCATTCCATGCTTGCTCTTCTTTATTTTCCACTGCTCCAAAACCTTGAACAAATTTTCCTGGCACCACCAGGCATGAAGAACATGAACACTCTGCTGATAACAAGAGCTGGAGAGGGGCTTTTGATAAGGGCTTGGAGTGACAGGACAAGGGGGAAAGGCTTTAAACTGAAGGAGGGGACATTTAGCTGGGATATTGGGAAGGAATTGTTCCCTGGGAGGGTGGGCAGGCCCTGGCACAGGTGCCCAGAGCAGTGTGGCTGTCCCTGGATCCCTGGCAGTGCCAAGGCCAGGCTGGAGCCCCTGGGACAGTGGGAGGTGTCCCTGCCATGGCAGGGGTGGCACTGGAGGGATTTGAGGTCCCTTCCAAGCCAAACCCTTCTGTGTGTGTGTAACATGTGGATCTGGCTCTCAGAAAGCACCAAGGACATCTGTGACAGGGCACGATCTCTCTGACTTCCTCCAGCTCTATTTCACACTCCTGGCAGTTTGTCAAGCCCCGTCCACTCGTTTTTCTTCACAAAACCTCTTAAATGAGTGAGAGAAAGGTCACCCAGCCAGCAGCCAGAGCCCTGCTGGATCACACACTGAAACCAGCCCAGTTAATAACAGAGCTCCAGAAACCCCACTCAGTTAATAACAGAGCTCTGCAGCTTTGGCCATGACACCAGCAGCTCCAGAAACCCAACAAACTCCAAAATCCTTTCCACCTTCCTGAGAAGGTGCAGAGCCCACTCTGGGCAAGGCAAGGAGCAGCTCTGCCCCAGCCCCACCTGTGTGGGACAGGGGGGTTTCACAGAGATATTGAATCCTTTTCCATCTTCCCATGATTTCAGCCCACACAGCATACTCCTGACACCAGGCAGGAGCTGGGAATGCCATGGAGGGCGAGGGAAGGAGAATAAGATTAAAAAAATTCAGGCATTCCAGACAACTCTCTATGAAAAGCCAGCCCTTACTCAGAGATGAAAAACCTCGGCTGAGTTTGTTAACAGATAAATAACTATAAACATGTGAGGCAGAAAACCAGAAAAAATTCAAAATACAAACACACAGGACCCAAATGTGCTAAAATGTGCTAAAATTCCCCATGTAGCACCCGAGGAGAAATCCTGCAGCCCAACCAGCCCCAGCACCCTGCTTTAGGTACAGCAAGAAGTCTGGGATTATTAAAGGTGCCAGCAAAGCTTTCAAAGCAATAATTCAGTTTTGCTCAGTGCCTGGGAGAATCCCTGCATTTCAGGAACACGGAGCACAGCGATCCCTTTCCTTGGGAGCACAGCAAACACACCAAACACTACGCCCACACCATTTTGTTTCTCACATTCTTTTCTTTCCCTTCTTCTCGCACATTTCTGAGCTCCCTCCGCACATTTCAGCTCGTCCTGGCACTTGAGAAAAGCAATGTTTTCAGCTGAACTGGCTGTGCTGGGAGCATCCATCACCCCGCAGGTGATTCTGCATCCACACCAGCACTGTCCCCTCCTCCTGGGGACCTCAGCCTGCTTGTCCCACTCCATCCCTGCTCTCCCCAGTGCCACCCCCCAAACCCCACAGACTGCCCCATAAACGCCTCGTTACCCCCCTTATTCCAAGCCCAAATTCCACCTGATTAAGACCAAGCAGGTCTCCCCAAACCACCTAAAATTTCCCACTCTAAGCTTAACTGGTTTCATTTACCCCCCTTAACTCCAGGTGGGGGATAACATCCCTCGAGCATGAGGAAAGTGCATTTTATCCACATTTAAATCTCTTCTAAACTACGCCCAGCTTCCAGCTGAATGTCATTAGTTTCCATCAGAAGTTACTTTATTTATTTATTTATTTACAAGCTCCAAACGCAGCACGGACAGAAGGTACAACTGTAACTCACTTTAAAATTTTTTTTTTCAATTCTCTGCATCCTTATTTCTACTTTCCACGGATTATAACATCTAAGGGGAAAAAAAAAAAAACCTCAAAAATGAAAAGCTCGATAAGCACTGCCTTTTCTTTCAGCTCAGCAGTGTCTACCCCATCCAAATCAGACACAGACAGCTACACAGCTGAACACACAGAAAATCACTTCACGATATGGAAATAAGCCACATGGAGAGGAACCTCCCTGAAAAATTGGGAGAAACGCAGGAGACAGCCTTGCACAATCAGCAAACACGGTTCCATCCCACAGCAAATACCCGTTAACCCTTTCCACAATGCCGCGAGTAAAGGGAAAAATAAAATCCCGTAATGGGAAGCAGTGAAAAGCCACGTGAAAGCCAACTAAAAAATAGAACAGATGGAAATAGAGGGAGTTTAAACAACACCAGCTTTGAGCGTGGGAGACCACAAGAGTTCCTCTGCAGCCACCGGTCCCGCTCACCTGAACGCGGCCCCGCTCACTCCAGGAGGGGCTGGGTGGGAACCGAGGGCAGAAAATCGCTTTTAAAGGCGCAGCTCAGGGGCCAGCCCCATCCCGGGAGCGGGGCAGGGCCCGGGGAGCACACCTGGGGGGATGCGCGGGGATCGCCAGGGATAGCCAGCGATGTCCGGGGATGCCCAGGGAAAAGAAGAGATGCCCAGGGATGTCCAAGGATAGCCAGGGATATTCAGGGATGCGCGGGGATGTCCAGGGATGCCAAGTGATATCCAGGGATGCCCAGGGACAAGGATGCCCAGGGATATTCAGGGATGCCCAGGGATGCGCGGGGAGCCGGCCGTGCCCTTGGCGCTGCCGGCACGTCCCGCATCTCCGGGCGCCGCGCGGTCCCAGCCCCGCCGGAGCCGCGGCCGCCGCTCCGCCCGCGCTGCCGGGATGCCGCTGGTGCCCAGGGCCGGCCCCGGGCAGCTCCGAGCTCTCCCCGTCCGTGCCCGGCTCGGAGCCGCCCGGCCGCTGCCGGCACCTGCGGGCGGCGGCATCCCCGCTCCCTCCCTCCTTCCCTCCCTCGCTCCCTCCGCCCTCGCCCCTCGCTCACCTGCGCGGCTGCGGCGGCTCCGCGGGCCGCTGGCGGCGCGGCCGGGCCGGCCGGGCAGGCGCTGTGGGCCGGGGCGGCGGCTCCCGGCAGGAAATTTCCCTTTGGCCGCCGCCTCCTCCCGCTGCCGCCGCCGCTGCCGAGCCCCAGCCCGGCCGAGCCCGCGCTCAGCCCGGGCCGCGCCGCCCGCCGCGCCGCCTGGCGGACACGGAGCGCACTGCAGCGGGAGCGGCCCCGCGGGGACGCGGCCTTGGGGCTCTGTCGGCGACAGCGACGGCGACAGCGACACCGCCACCCCAGCCGTGTCACCGCCACCGCGTCCCTGCCACAGCAGCCCCGCCGCACGCACAGACTGTGCCGCGAGCGCCCGGCTCCCTCCCGAGCTCCTCCCGGAGATGCCGCACCTGCCCGTGTCCCCATCCATGCCGCGATGTCCCCTGCGCTCGGGACGCCCCGCACGCTCTGCCCCTCGCTGCCCAGCCCGCCCGGGATGTGTCGCTGCCCCTGGGGCCGGCGGTGCCCGTGTCCCCTGCCAGGGACAGCGAGCGGGACGGGACACCCGGAATAGCAGCGGCAGGTGGGAAAGTAGGGCAGGCAGGGAGGAGGGGATTTGCGGGAGTCGGGAGCTCAAGGCACATCTTGGCTCCAGTCCCTGCCACACACCTTTCCCAGAACCACGGGAGCCTCCCAGCAGGAGAAATCCCGGCTCCAGGAGGGATCTGAAAAGTCTTACCCAATGATTCTCTGCGTTACTTCCAGACACCCCCATAGCCATGCACATATTTAAGTTTTCCACAAGGTGTCCCAGAGCAAGAAGAGCATCCCGGCCGGAGAAATCCCTGCTCCAGGAGAGATCCTAAAAGTCTTTCCTAAAATTAAGCAAATTCTGGATTACTTTCAAGCCCCAATAGCCATGCACGCTGTGTTTAAGCTTTCCAAATGATGTCCCAGAGCAAGAAGAGCATCCCAGCAGGAGAAATCCCTCCTCCAGGAGAGATCCTAAAAGTCTTTCCCAACCTTAATGTTTTTATATTTTACTTTCAACCTCTCCCATATCAATGCACACTATATTATACTGTATATAAACTATATATACTATTGTATAAACTATATGAAGTTTTCCAGAAGATGTCTCAGACCAAGAAGAGCATCCCAGCAGGAGAAGAAAGATCCAAGCAAACTTAAAAAGTCTTTCCCAGCCTTAATGTTTCTATATTTTACTTTCAACCTCCCCCATATCAATGCACACTGTGTTTAAGTTCTCCACAAGATGTCCCAGAGCAATAAGAGCATCCCAGCAGGAGAAATCCCTCCTCCAGAAAAGATCCAAGCAAACCTAAAATTCTTTCCTCACCTCAATGTTTCTATATTTTACTTTTAATCTCCCCCATATCAATACACATCATATTTAAGTTTTTCACAAGATGTCCCAGAGCAAGAGGAGCATCCCAGCAGGAGAAATCCCTCCTCCAGGAGAGATCCAAGTGATCCTAAAAGTCTTTCCTAACCTTCAGCAAATCCTGGATTACTTTCAAACCCCTCAATGGCCATGAACATAATATTTAACTTTTCCAAAGGACATCCCAGAGCAAGAAGAGCATCCCAGGAGGAGAAATCCCTCCTCCAGGAGAGATCCAAGCAATTTTAATAAATTTTCTCTACCTTAATTATTCTCTGTATTATTTTCCAAACCCCCACACCCACGTAGCCAACATTTAGGTGCTCCAAAGGATGTCAGACAATTGTGAGGTGTAAAGAAAGACCCAGCAGAAGAAAATAAAAATCAGAACATCTGTGAATGTTTGTGTCTTCTGCAGGAAACTTCATCAGGGCCTAATTGCACCCCTTTGGCATCGTGTTGACAAGGAAACAGCAATTTAGTGGGGCTGGAATCCCGTGAGCACACGTGGCAGGGCACAGCACCAGGGAGGAGCTGGATTTTAATGAACATTTTTGCAGATAAATGGCTGCAACTCAGCGATTTTCTCACTGAGAACCACTTGCAAGGAGCTGGATATTAATTTAAATGAGTGCTTATAGCCAGGAGATAAAATAAATAGAATTATTATATGTGTTGGACAAAATGACCACATTTTCTGTTAGTGCAGGAATTAAAGATCCTATTAGGCTGTGTGGTCCCAAAATTAATTAGTCACGAGGCAGATATGGGAAGCCAAGTTGTACAATAAAGGTTTTAATACATTATTTGGCGTGAAGGGATTTGCTGGAGAGAAGAACATCTAAATAATATATAAATAAACTGTGCAATTGTGGAATAAAGCTGTAAAAAGACCATCCAACCTTCCCCAGTCACGTCCATAATTGATGATTTTATTGATAATTTAGCCTCGTTAGTCCCCAGCTCTGCATCCTCCCAGCCCATCCAGGGTGCTCCAAGCCAGGTTTGTGCCATTTGTGTTTTCCAGGACCCATCCAGGAGCTGGAGCCAACAGCCTGAGGCTGATTCTTTGTTGTCTGCAGGAAAACAACCCAGGGTGCTGCTCCCTGATATTGAAGTGAAGGGGAGAAGCGACCATCCGATTGATGCATCGAACTCCGATTTATTGATCAATCAGTCACTTTATACAACAGCGTTCATTAACTTCATGCAGATTGCAAAATCCAAGCTCACGATAGGCTAACAGAGAAAACTCTAACCACTCCTTTTGTTTTACAACACCTACAATTGTTTATTAAACACAGAACCAACGTTCCCACTGTGACATGAGAGTTTCCCAAAACGTCCATATCTGTTCCCAGGGAGCCAGCTTTTCCCAGACAGAGTGCTTTGCTTGTTATGAGGAGACTGTCTGAGAACCTTATTATTTATAAAATCAAGCCTGGGAACTGCTTTAGGAACTGCTTTACTTCTACCTTTTACTTTTCTCTCAATTGTATGTCTTCATGGCCTTTTTCTTTAAGCCATGCTTGAACTAAACTCTCCAACACCCTGACACAGAGCTGCAGCCAGAAATCCACATTTGAACCCACGAGTGGGGATCTGAGGGATGAAATGCCTTGAAACCCAATTTCAGACAAGGTCTGGAGGGAATTTCTGTGCTGAGGAAGGGGAGAGGGTGCCAAACAAGGCTGCTCTGAGATTTGCAGCCGTTTAGTAGCAATTCCATGACCTTGACAGAAGGAAGACAAGAAGCTGCACCAAACAATAAATTTAAGCAAGTGGAAGGCTGAAATAGTGTGCAAAAATAACACAACACCGAGCAGCTGATCCCACATTTATCCCAATTCTGGGGTAATCCAATATCCCACGGGGACTTTCCTTCCTCCAGCTCCCAGCCCAGGTGTCTTTTCCTCTCTTTCCACCACAAATCCAACCCCTCTCAGCAGTGGCAGCTCCTTGGCAGAACTTCCACCTTTGCTTCCAATTTTCCAGAGATGCTGCAGGGCCTCCCACAGCTCCCAGCCCCTGCATCCCTTCCTTGGAAGGAATTTATCCCACCAGAATTGCTGGGAACTTCACCCAGAGCAGTTCCAGGCACTCTGGTACTCTCTGCTTCAAGCTCAGGGAATAAATGAGAGGGAAAATGCAATATTTGAACACCAACATTTTATTTTGGGTATTCCAGCATGCTGACCTTGGTGGCAGGGCAGTAAATTGCTCTCCTTGCTGATGTAGTGGAAGAAAAATAAGGTTTCTTATTATTTGATACAAGGTAAGAAATTTCCCTTTATTCTTCAGAGCTTCAATCAAATCCTGGCTGATTTCCACTATGCTAATAAAGCATTTCAATTATTTAGGAATAAAACTTAAATAATTTTTTAAAATTATATTTATATATTCTTATAAATAGTGACCTCAAAGATATCATCAAAATCTCAAATTCCCCCCAAAAAAATTAGAAAATCAGAGGCAGAGCATTGATCAATTAATTAATTTATAATAAATTTTCCCTACCTTAATGATTCTCTGTGTTATTTTCCAAAGCCCCACACCCATGCAGGCAACATTTAAGCGCTCCAAAGGATGTCAGACAATTGGGAGGTGTAAAGAAAGACCCAGCAGAAGAAGAAATAAAAAATCAGAACATCTGTGAATATCTGTGTCAGAAATCAGAGAATCAGAGGCAGAACAGCAGAAAACTGACACAAACCCAGGGTTTCTGTGGCTGCAAACACATCTCAGCCTGAAAAGCTCTTCAAAATAGGGATAATTGGGCAAAATCAAGAAAATAAATGATAGAAAAGAGACAATATTTGGCCACCAACATTTTATTTGGGTGTTCCAGCCTGATGCCCTTGGTAGAGCAGGGTGGATCAGTCTTTTTGCTGATGTACTGGAAGGAAAATTGAAAATTCCTGAAAAGATCAGGAAATCAGAGGCAGGACAGCAAAAACCTGACACAGACCCAGGATTCCTGATGCTGCAAAAACATCTCAGCCTGAAAACACAAGGAAAACTCTTCAAAGTGGGAATAATTGGGTAAAAGCATGAGGCTGTGTGATATTGCAGCAGTAGTTCA